TATCCTTGTGAATCTTGGCATTTTCGTATGCCTCGTTCCTCCTTTCCTCCAACTCCAAGAGCTGCAACAATCGAGCTTTTCCAGCCGCATCCAGATCGAAATTCGTCTTCTTGATCGCCCACAAGGCCTTATGTTCTATCTCAACAGGTAGATGGCAAGCTTTTCCATAGCTAATCGGAACGGACTCATGCCCAAGACGCCTTTGTACGCTGTGCGTTGCGCCCACAATGCATCGTCGAGCTGACTCGACCAATCCTTCCTTGATGAGTTGACCGTCTTTTCCATGATGGTCTTGATCTGCTTATTACTGGTCTCAGCCTGGCCCGAGGTTTGTGGGTGATAGGGAGTAGCCACTTTGTGCGTTATGCAATACTTCTTCATCAGCTTCTCAAAAAGCTTGTTGCAAAAGTGCTTCCCGCCATCACTCACGATCGCTCTTGGGAACCCAAACCTACTCAATATATACCCTTGCACAAACTTGATCACGATATTAGCATCACATGTCCTTGTGGGGATAGCCTCAACCCACTTAGACACGTAATCTACAGCAAGTAAAATGTATTCGTAACCATTAGACTTGGGAAATGGTCCCATAAAATCAATGCCCCAAACATCAAAAATTTCGACTTGAAGGTTATTAGTTAAGGGCATCTCATTTCTGCGACCTATATTCCCAGTTCTTTGGCATCGATCACAAGAACGGCAAAAAGTATGGGCGTCTTTAAAAAGTGATGGCCAGAACAGACCTGACTGTAATACCTTAAAGGCGGTTTTCTGACCGCCAAAGTGGCCTCCACAATGGAATGCGTGACAGAATGTGAGGACAGCGGCTTGTTCCTCTTCTGGTACACATCGTCTAAGCACCTCATCCTTCCCCATCATGAAAAGTAATGGCTCGTCCCAGAAGTAATCCCTACACACAGCAAGAAAACGCTTTCTCTCTTGGGAAGAGAGATTAGGCCGCAGTTTTCCACAACACAAGTAATTCACAATATCAGCATACCATACACTTTTCGATACCTCATGTGCATGCTCGTATGGGAAATTATCATTAAGAGAATGATGCACAATCAATGAACATGAAGACTCAGAAGGTACAATGCGTGACAAGTGATCAACAACTACATTTTCAGAACCTTTCCTATCTTTAATGTCAACATCAAATTCTTGTAGTAATAAGATCCACCGAATGAGTCGTGGTTTAGAATGAGTTTTGCTCAAAAGGTACTTCAAAGCTGCATGGTCTAAGTGAATAATGACTTTAGAACCCAAAATGTATGATCGAAATTTTTCAAGAGAAAAGACCACGGCTAGAAGTTCCTTTTCGGTGGTAGTGTAGTTCTGTTGGGCCCCATTAAGAGTCAAACTAGCATAATAAATCACCCGAAGCAACTTATCAACTCGTTGACAAAAAACGGCGCCCACTGCAAGATTTGATGCATCACACATAATTTCAAAAGGAATCGACCAATCAGGGGCAATAACAATCGGAGCACTTACAAGTTTACTCTTCAATTCATTAAAAGCACACAAACAAGCATCATCAAATACAAATGGCACATCTTTGGCAAGCAAATGACAAAGAGGCTGACTAATTTTTGAAAAATCCTTAATGAAACGCCT